CAAAAAGCCGGCCAAGGCTGCCAAGCGCGGCAGCAGCGGAGGCGCGGCGGCCGCCAAACGGGCGGCCGAGCGGCAGCAGTCCAAGCCGATAGACAGCGACGTCTCTGATATGGACGACGACTCGTTCCATGACGGTCTGGCCGAGATGAGCTCTCGGCGGCGGGCGGGCCGCACCGCCGCGCCCCCGCCGCCCGCGGCCCCGGCGCCGCCCCCGTCTCCCCCGCCGCCCCCGCCGCCGCCGGCCGCCGCTGAGTCGGACGACGACGATGATGATGATGATAGCGAGAGCGGCTCGCCGAAGAAAATCATCGCCCAGGGTCGCATCTTCGCATCTAAAATGAGACGGAAGAAGGCCGCCGAGCGGCAAACTGCCCCTGCTAAACCGACGCCGCCCAAACCGCCCACGCCCAAGGCGGCGGCGCCCAAACCGTCGTCCCCCAAAGTGGCGCCGCCCCCGCCCAAGCCGGCCCGCCAGCCGTCGCCGGAGAAACAGCAGGCCAAGAGGGAGCGGAGTCGACATCGGTCTGATTCCGAGGAGCCCGACCGGCCGGGGACCAAGAACAAGGACAAGGGTAGCAAGCGGTCGAGATCGCAGAGCAAGGACAAGAAGGACAGTAAGCGGAAGAAGAGGAAAACGCACGGGAAGGAGAAGAGGAGTCACTCGCAGGCCAGCCCGGAGAAGGATGAAGATGAATTACTGGTGAGTACACGATCGATGCGGCTTAGTAGTAATTGGCTCGCTGCTCTAATTGACAGCTCAGTGGTAATTAGAGTCAATTAGTAGTGATGTGCATGTCGCGTCGGCGTGCGGCCGCTTGGGGTCAGGGGAGGATCGGATCACCAGGGGACCCTGAACGAGTAGCAGCTTTGGCGTGTCGTTTCATAGTCTTTTTTTTTACCCTACCATAGTGTAATGTTTAATGTAGATTATTAGGTCTGGCTCTGGAATGGGTTTAAAGTGAGACGACGCCTTATTGTTATTGCTTCAAGTCTCGGTGAAATGCTTATAGCGCTAACCATAACTGATAGGATTAGACGTGCCAGCTAGTCTGTTCTCTGAATATCATGATTTATCGATGCTACACCTTTCTGGCGGATCTTGTCGAGCCTGAGAGGTACCCAGCGCCCTCTGTTTTGACCGTCGACTGCGCCAAACACAGCGTGTTCCACTCCCTGTCCTACATGCTGAGTTCTCCTATCCCCCTGCTGTGGAGTCCCGTCGCTGAACCCCTCTTTCTCCGTGTTTCAGGCACCAGCCAGTCCCCGCCCGGCCACGTCTCCGTCGCCGGCCCGCTCGCCGCCGCCGCGGAGCGCCGAGCCGGAGCTGGACGATGACGAGTACGCCACGCTGCCCGAGCCACTGCCCGAGAGGCGCCGCTCCGAGTCTGGCTCCGACGCCGAGGACGAGCTCAAACCCAAGGAGAAACGCCGAGACCGCATCCGGCCGCAGGACATCATGCGACAGAAGAACGCATCGATGAAGGAGAGTTCTGACAGCAAACAGGCCAGCAAGCCGAAACCGTTGTTCAACAGTAGATCCATCTCCAAAGAGGAGAACGCGAAATTAGGCGAGTTGATATCGCGGGTGCGTGAGTCGCGCGGTGGCGGTGCCACGCTGCTGTCCAATGGGCCTGGGCTGACGATGGGGAAGGTGCTGGGAGGGCTCTCGGACAGGGACAAGTCGGGAGAGGAGGTCTGGGAGGAGCTGGTTGGTAAGCGGCTGAAGGCAGAGCCGACGCTGCCGTCCCGACGGCGCAGTGCCGAAGATGACGAACCACTCCGGCTCATCGCCGAGCCGGAGGAGGGCCAGGAGCTTCCCGTGCTGAAGAAGACGGCCACGCCCAACCTGCGCGCGTGGTTCACCGCGTTCCGCTCCAAGAAGGACGCCGAGCCCACACCGCCGCCGACTCCGGCCCCCAAGGTGAAGAAGCCGCCTCCGACACCGCAGCGGGAGGAGACCAAGACGGTGAAGCCGCCGGCGACTCCCTCGGCGGCGTCCTCTTCGCCGAAGGAGGCAACAAAGAAGACGGAGGCGACGAAGGACTCCGTCAAGGAGAAATCCCCTCCGGCCTCGCTGGCGTCGCCGGGGGCGTCTGCCTCGGCGTCCGCCGCCCGCGAGGAGCCTCCCAAGTCGGACTCGCCGTCGACGAGCAGTTGGAAGGCGCGCGCGGGCTCCCCACAGCCGCCCGGCCCGCCGCCCGATTTCCAGTATGATGACGATGAGTTGGAGAAGGCTCGTCTCCAGGTGAAGGCCCGCGAGGCGCAGCGACTGGAGAGCGAGAAGCGCCGGCTCGAGTCTGCCAACTCGCAGTCCCCGGCGCACCCGGACGCCAAGTCGCCGTTCTACCAGACCAGCTCAGAGAGTGAGAAGTCACCCATGACGCCTGGTTACGGCGGCATCGTCTCGCCGGCGATGGACTATCAAAAATCGCCGGCGTTCTCTCCCAAACAGCCGCCGACGGCTCCGTTCTCGGACGCGACCAAGTACAACGGCGGCGTGAAGCCCGGCTTCTACCAGGATATGACACAGAAGACGGCCAGTCCGGACAAGTCGCCGTACCGCCGGCCGGGATCCGTGGCCAGTACCCACTCTCCGGCGTCGGTGGCGGGCAGTCCCGCCTACCAGCCCAACAGCCCGCAGGTGGGACCGGCCGCCGCCGCCGCCTTCTCCGGATACTACGGCGGCGCGCACAAGGAGCTGGGGGCCAGCGCGGCGGCCAAGTCGGCCGGCCAGCTCATGTCGCCGCCGAGCCGGCCGGCCGGCCCGGGCCGCGTGGCGCCCACTCTGCCCAGCCCGGACCCGGCGGCTCTGCTGCACGGCCGAACGACCGCCGACGATAAGCCCGGCTTCCCGTTCAAGAAGCGTGTGCAGGCCGACCTGGCGCTGGGCGGCGGTCAGGTGTACCAGCCGCAGTCTGCCGCCGCGCAGACACCCTACCAGCAGAACCAGCAGCCCACCCAGCAGCAGGCGCACAGCAAGTCGCAGCTGCCGACCGCCGCCGCCTACCAGCAGCTGCCCGGGAACCTGGGCAACATCTCACAGCTGGTGACACGGTTACCGCAGCAGCAGCAGCAGCACCAACAGCAGCAGCAGGAGGCTCGGGAGAAGCAGGAGGCGGTAGCGGCAGCTGCCGCTGCGGCGCAGAAGGAAGCAGCGGCGGCGGCTGAGGCGGCGGCCGCCCGGCAGCTGCTGCAGCGGCAGAAGGGCCAGCAGCTGGAGGCGCAGGTGCGGCTGATCCAGGAGCAGAAGCAGAAGCAGCAGAAACAGATGGCCGGCGAGCGGCAGCAGGCCGAGAAGCAGCAGCAGCAGGCCAGCAAGGCTGTCGAGCAGCTGCAGCAGCAGCAGCAGGCCGTCTCCACCGCCGGCATGTCGCCCAACAGCTGGAGCGCCAACTCCGTCTCCTACTTCAAACAGATGGCCAGTCCGCATATGCAGCTTTACCACCAGCAGCAGACGATGAAGGCGTTCCAGCAGCACCAGCAGCAGCAGCAGCAACAACAGCAGGAACAGCAGCAACAGCAGCAGCCGCAGCCCCAGGCGCACCAGCACCAGACGCAGCCGCAGCAGCAGCAGCAGGGCGGCGCCGACGGCGGCGGGAAGGCCTCGGGCGGCGGGAAGACGCCGGCCGTCACCACCAGCTCGTCATCGGGTCTGAACCTGGGCGGTCTGGGCGGCCTGGTGCCCGGCGCCGGCTACAACCCGCTGCTGTCGTCCAGCTTCCAGGCGTCGCTGGGCGGCGGCACGTACCCGTACCTGGGTCTGGGCCAGTCGCGCTCGCCGCAGCCGGCGCACCAGAACTTCAACCAGGCGCACGCGTCGCTGTCGCAGATGGGCGGCCAGGCGCGCGCGGCGGCCGGCTCTCCGCACAGCTCGCAGGCCTCCTCGCTGCTGACGCCGTCGCCGTTCGGTGCGGCGGCGCGCGGCCACCCGCTGAGCTCGGAGACCATGTACCAGCAGTACTACCGGCAGCAGGAGGAGCTGCTGCTGCACCACCAGGCCGGCGCCGCCATGGCCATGGCCATGGGCGCGGCGGCCGGCGGCTATCCGCCCGGCTACCCGCACCTCTCGTCGCTGCGCCAGGCGCCCGGCTTCCAGCCGCCGGGGGGCGTGTCGCGCTCGCCGTTCTTCTAGCGCCGCTGCCCGGCCTGGCCGGCGCCGTACAACTACCTGTGATACACCGCGTCGTCGTCGCCGCCGTCGTCGTCGTTTTCGTCGTTTTTATTTGTGTCCACTGTTGGTTCGCGGAGTGCCGCGAGCGTGTCATAATCAGGTTCGGCCACTCGTCGGGGGCGAGGCGCGATGATTTATCCAGGGAGGCTCTATGGGCGCAGTGAGCGGGTCTTCCCTGTCCCAAGTGCGTTGTGCATACATATAGTGTTTAGCAGAAGACGTGTGGAGCTTGTATATTGGTGGAAGCGTTTATGTGTGTGTCTGTGTGCGCGTGTGCGCAGAAGAACCAGTAGTTTGGTATGTGGTCCGTGTTGTCCGCCCGGTTGTTTTAGATCAGTATTGAGCTGTTTTACCGGCGCACGATTCTGTTCGGTTGGGTAGTGTGGACCGGCGCGCCTCTGCCGGTCGCCGGAGGCACTCACTCGCGGTTCACGCGCGTGCACCGACCATGTTTAAAACCGACTTGACTCATGAGTGCGTGCGATCATCCCCATTGAGCGGTGTGAGTGGGGCGGCGGCCGGGCGCGCGCTGCCGGCCGGCCGGCCGCCGGTCGGTCTGTCCGCACGGGTAGATCTCATTGTCCCTGCCGGCGGCGACTCCGCGCAGAGCCTCCACCGCCACCGTGTACATATGCGGCCGATATATGCAACTGACAAAACTGTGCCGTCGTCAAGAGGTTTTTTACGATGTTATGTACGCATATAAAGCCAATATGTGTAGAGGCCATTTGTTTTTGTCGTGGCGGAGCCCGAGCGCGGTGCACTCGTCTCGCGTTGTTTTAGTGTTTTGTTCGGCGCGACGCGCGTTCAAGCCTGTGGCTCCTCTCTGTTCTCAGTCAGACGTTTATTACATCTAGCATCACAGTTGGTTGCACATTCGCTATATGTTTTCGCAATAAAATCTCGCTACATGCCGTCAGTGCACTCCACGACTCTAGCCTACCACACGCCGGGTATTGCCCAACAATTGCGTCCGCCGCGTAACACATCTTTGGTCGAATATCGAGGGCGGCCCGTCCACCGTGCGGTCCGGCGCCGCCCTCTGCACCGGCGGCCGCCCAGTCGCGAATAAATAACGCCCCACACGAGCGGCCCAGTGGTCCTATGACGTCACAGGTCCAAAGGCAGCATCACAGTACCGTCCGCCGGCGCGGCGGGCAATCACAGGTCGGGGCGTCGCTCGGCCCCGCTCCCCACTCTCCCCTGTGGCGGCCGAGGCGTTCTCCGCCCCTCTCGCCACTCCACTGACGGAGACTGCCCCTCTCATCGGCGCGTTCTGCCCTTCTTGCCGCCGGGCAGCAGGTGTCTTAGTTTCTGCAGATTCGTCTTGGTGATCTGTGGAGGACAGAGAAACGGTCAGCTCAGACAGATCGATGACGTGAGACGAAAACACTCAAAAGAATAAAAGAGCGTATTGACTATATGGTCAAACTGGCCTCTGGTATGTTCCCGATACCTACAATCGCGCATTTCCGTGATGGTGGATAGCAAGAACAGCTGAAAAAGCTGCATAAAGCTTTCAAGTCTGGATGCTGAGGGGCGTAATTAATCCATTCGATCCCCAGCTTAAGATCTGGGTACGTCAATTGAGGCCCTGTTGGCTGTTGCCTTCGTTTTCCGTCCTTCAGTTACCTGGTCATCTGGTTTGATGCGCAGCGCCTCAAGGTACGACTGTTCAGCCTCGGCCAGCTTCCCGTTGACGTGCAGCATCGCTCCCAGGTTCATATGACTGGTGGCCTCCTGAGGGAGTGGGGGAACGCTGTCAGAACGCGGCATCGAGGGGCACCTCTAGTCATACGGGATCACTGGCGAGAGGGCTCCATGAGTCAGCCCAGCAGACACGCGGTGGATGGATTGGGAACAGCTGGGTATGTCACATGAGTAGGCGGAAATAGTTCACGTAGGTACTCGGGAGCTGCTGATTCAGCGTACAGCTCATGCCTACTCGTATTACTTCTTATAAAAAAAAAGAGGACAAGTCACCTGGACAAGTGCGACTCCGACCTCAGGTTATTCCCCAGCCCAGTGACTACTGCCGGGTGGCCTGCCCTGTGTGGATGGACAAGCCGTGAGCGTTCCGCCCGAATCCACCCCCTTTCCCTCCATCGTTGCCTCCGACGTGCTTCTTCTCTTACATTGGGCCGGAGCCGGACGGCGATCCGGTAGTAGTGTTCGGCCTCCTCGTTGCGCGCCGCCTGGCGGAGAATGTTGGCAGCGTTGAACACCATCTCGTACTCGTGCGGCGCCAGTTCGGCCGCCCGCCGGTAGATGGCAGCAGCCTGCGTCAGCCGCTCCCCGTCCGCCAGGTGCTGGCCTGTGAATGAAAAAAGGAGATATTTAGCTTACATGTTCGGAATTAAAGCGAGTCGGGGATTCACTCCACATCATGAGTTCAGCATTAGGCGGGGACCTGGGGAAGCTACACTGTCGAGCTGGCCGGAAGGTTACCTCACGTCGAGCCGGAAGGCTACCTCAGCAGCAATAAGCAAGCGGGCGCCCTTGCTAGGGCGGGTGTAACCGTAAGCCTGGCCTCAGGCGTCCCATCAGCCCAGCCAAGCATCAAATAAGTCTTCTTCCATTATCAGGACATGACCAACCCTTCCTTGTAGTCACCCACTGGTGTGAGCCCAACCACAGGGTGCTCGCCCAGACCAATGTCTCCCCGAATTCCTATCATCCTTCCGGCCCTGAAATGGTCTTGTCAGACCGAAAGAGCATACATAACCCAACAAAACAAACAAAAAAGTTATCCCCTCCCCAAGCCACGGATGACCGTAAGCAGTAAGGACGACTTAGTCGCTTGCTCATTGGAAAGGGTGAATAAAACTAAATAACTAACATGAAACATTTACATCCGGCCGTCGACAAAGCTGTCGTAAACCCGTTCGGAGCTCGTGTATTCTGACATTCAAATACGTTTTAGGCAAACACATTTTAAAACTGAGTCAAAAGTTTGGCCGTTTGGATATCGGGCAGTATCGTCTGGCGTTTTTCGCCCGGAGGGAGTGACATCAGTCGTGCCTACCGCAACAGGCAGTTGCATGACTGACAGCCCGACACGATAGCTGAATTCGGTGACGGTGAGCGGCAGACGCCCTTTCGGTCGATTGAGAGGGAGGGCAAAGTGGTCGGTCGCTCGAAGCACTGAAGCCGGAATACCATCTTTGGTTCAGTCGGTCGCTTTAGCCTAATGAAGTGGTTGGTCTGTCAATTCTGCCGGTTGGTCGATTGGTGAACCGTCAATCTGAAAGCTGGCAGGTCGGTCGGTCGTTACAGTAGGCTAGTAGGTCGGTCGGGCGGTCGTTCTGATAGTGGTCCTCCGCCTCGATTTGCAGGTTGATGGTCGTTCAGACTTCAGAAGGTCGTTCTATCGTTCGTACTTACTTACTCCTCGGCGACAGCTTTGTCGACGGAACGGGAGCCGAAGATCCGCCTCCATGCCGTCTCCGCTCCTTCCAACGCGCAGACGTCGGCCAGGGTTCGACGAGACACCGTCCCGCACGCGACCTGGCACGACATCCTCCCACGGAGGCCGCAGAGGCCCGATCTCGCGATCCAGCCCGGCCTCAGACCGACACGGGCCATCCTCCCGACTTCCGCTTCTCCTGGGTTTGGCTTCCTGGCATCGTCAGTTTCCATCTTGAATTTGAGTAGTTGCTGGAAGTCGGAAGCCGAGAGGACGATCCTGCTGGTAGCGGGCGCGCCAGTGCCCGCCAGCCGGTCTGCCTTCTCGTTGACCTCCACGCCAGCGTGGCCTGAATTCCTGAAGTAGAGCCAGGTGATGCGCCTGTCTGTCCACCATTCAGGGGGCGAGACGCCGCCCTCCAATGTCCGCAGGAGAGACTGCGAGTCAGTGGCGACGACGATGTGCTGACAGTCGGGTAGGAGCTGATTCAGGGCGTTTAGTCCAACAGTGACGGCCTCCGTCTCAGCCCGCATGCTCGAGAGCACGAGCCGCGTAGCTCCCGATACGCTTTGGGTGAGTTCAGCCGAGCGGATGAAGCAGCCCCAGCCGCTCCGGGGAAGGGGCTCCCGGATGACTGATCCGTCGGTGGCCAGCAGCGCGTCGCCCTCGGACATCAGCTCCTCGGTTATGTTCTATCGTTCGTCTGTCGGTTGGTCCGTCCTGAGCGTTTGAGTGGTCGGTTATGTTACCCGGTCGGCCAGTTACGCTAACCAGGTGGTCGGTTGGTCGGTTACGGAGCCTCGGACGGTTTACATATCCTTGGTCGGCTATGTCGATTTGGTCGGTCGGCTATGTCGATTTGGTCGGTCGGCTATGTCGATTTGGTTGGTCCATCGGTTCGTTGGTCAGTCAGTAGTACCCGTATGTTACCCGTTCCGTTCCGTTGGTCGGTTATGTTACCATGTTACCCGGTAGGTCGGTTGATGGGTTATGTTACCCTATCTGTCGGTCGGTTGGTCTGCTTGGTACCCGGTCCACGGGTCCGTCGGTCGGTCGGTGACTGGGTTTATTCGGTCGGTCGGCCTGTTGGTCGGTTGGTCGGTTATGTTACCCTGTCCGTGGTTGGGTCGGCTATGTTAGCCGGTCGGTCGGTCGGTTATGTTACCCGGTTCGTCGGCCACGGGGCGGCTGGTCGGTTGGTCGGTTTTGTTGGTCCGTCTGTGGGCCGGTTATGTTACCCGGTCGGTTGCTCTGCTATGTGCCCGTTCGGTCCGTGGGTCGGACGGCGGTGCTAACCACGGGACGGCCGGCTGGTCGGTCGGCTATGTTACTCGGCCGGTCGGTTGATCGGTTATGTTACCTGCCCGTCGGTCGGTTGGCTAGTCGGTCGGTTATGTTACTTGCCCGTCGGTCGGTTGGCTAGTCGGTCGGTTATGTTACCCGGTCGGTTGCTCTGCTATGTGCCCGTTCGGTCCGTGGGTCGGACGGCGGTGCTAACCACGGGGCGGCCGGCTGGTCGGTCGGTTATGTTACTCGGCCGGTCGGTTGATCGGTTATGTTACCTGCCCGTCGGTTGGCTAGTCGGTCGGTTATGTTACCCGGTCGGTCGGCGGCGCTAACTGCACGGGCCGGCCGGCCAGCCGACACGCCTCTCTGGCCGCCACAAAGGGCGCACCGTTTGATGGTAAGCGACACGGCAGTTTTTAATGTAGGTGACAATGCAGCCGAGATTAAAGCCCGCTGCGACCGACAAAAGTTCTGCATAGTCATTTAGTGCACAGCCTTGTCTGCAGCTGGAGCCGAGCTGATGTACGAATTACATGTAGGTATTTGAGCCTGCGTGCGGTGATAATAAATATATAACGCACCGAATCGTATCCGGTTAGCTTTTGCGATCCATGGGTTCACTATGCCATTCACTGTCTAATTGACCTGTTGCTATACAGACGTTCGTAACACACGAGCAGTCCAGTAGGCACTGGGGCTGGCTCGTTAGATACAAATCAATTAACCAATCTGGGCGAATCGCTTATGTATGACTGGGAAGTTCTGCGAATGTCGCATACCTCGGGCATGCACCCATTTGCTGTGCATGCCTGTCAAGTTGTTTGTGACCGCTCCACAAAAACCGGCGGTTGTCCGCGCTCGCGTGCAGGTCGGCTGGTTCACGGAATCGGCCCGCCGTCCTCCCCACGTGCCTGGTAAGGCAGTGCGGAGGTGACACAGCGCACCGGCCATCCGTATAGCATGCAGCGGGCTCCTACAGACACCACACGCCAACCAGCCGTCCGATCGTCCCGCAGACATGGCGACATCCTCGTCCGCTTCGTTCGAGGTCCTGTTCTTGGGTCTGTAACTCTACATCAACGGCCCAAACCCGGACCGACCCACACACGATCCGAACGGCCACATGTCACCCACTCGTGAGCGGTGCATCGGCGCATCTAGCCAAACAGGAAACTGGCCGCCGCCGAATCCGCTGTCCGGAAAAATGCACCATTTTTCCTGTCGGTGTGATAATGCCGACATTGGTCCGGTCGACCGACTAGCACGTGATCTGATACGCACCTATGGAATGCAAGTATCGGCCGTATTAATTGTCGCTTGTCTAGATTTGGCCGAATGACGTGGAGTGGACTGAACATTGGCGTTTCGAGGCCAATGGATGGAACTATTGGTGATGGGTCTGCATGTGAGCATCAAGCATACTGCGTCGTATTGTGTCGTGAAATAAGGCGGCTGCTAACAAGTAACAAAAATAGTAGCGAAGTGCGCACAAGTTTGGTATGGGCAGCACCGCAATGTACCTGAATCATGGGCTGGTTGACAGAGCGAGACATTAATTGCCGTGGTATTGCTGTGCATTGTTTGCAATAGAATGCCATTGAAACGTACCGCATTTGTCATTTGTTGTTGTCAGGCAATTAAATATCATTTGAGTACAGTCGGCCATTTACGTGTCAGAAGCCGGTAAAATATATGACCGTTATTTAGACATGTGGCACGGAGTTCGGACGTCACCAGTGATGATACATGTGATGGTTTTCGTTGTTTGCCAACAAAACATGCACGAAGGCAAAAAATTTGGCCTGACATATCATTATCGATCAGGGTACATTCGCCGTGTGTTTAATATCAGCCGATGGCTCATTTAGAAGACGCGTTTAATCAAGCTGCGCTCGGCTAAGTGCACACGTGCCACCCAGAACGTAGGTACCAGGCGAGCAGCCAGCCGCTTCATATACCTATCGCCTGGCTGGGCGCGGGCCCGTGCTGGAACAGTATCAGGCCGCACGACACGAGTCCCGTTTTCCACTGTCCAAGGTCTCCAAAAGCACAGTGGCGACTGCAAGCGATAACAGCTTAGTTCACAAGTTGCCTTATGTAAAAGGGCTTGCCGATCGCAAGACAACGGCCATGGGCGTCTACCGTAAATAGAACCCATCGTCAGGATGGAAAACGCTGCCATGACCGGCATGAAAATGGACGCAAGATTCTGTTTTCCACATGCAATGACGAAACGATAGCGGCTCATGAAATCGCTTGCATGGATTCATAGAACAAGATGAGTGCACCGAGCTTCGGAGTAACGCTATGCAAATTAGCGGGCATTTTTAGACGAGCTATCACGGGTTCGCTTTGTCTACACCTCTCACGAAACCATTCCGGGTGGATTTCTGAGCCAGGTGCACTGCCCTGGAGCAGGAGACGGCCAGTCAGAGCCCAAACGGCCCCGCCGATCGCCCCCATATCATGATTGCAGCGAATAAGAGCTGCCCTCGCCACTCCCCAACCCAAAGGCAGCAGCACAATAACCATGCCGATGCTGCGATTGCCGCTCTGAAACCGCCTTCCTGCATGTCGGCCACCAATCTAATCGTCGAAATCACCACCAAACAGCCGTCTCT